TCTTCTTCAGCCATGTTGGGAGTCGGTCTGGTTGCTAAGGTGAAAGCGTCCCCTTGGTTGCCAGGGAGGTGGAGGCGGGGCCGTGGGAGGAAAAGGCCAGCCCGCCCTATGAGGGCGGGGCCAGGGCGCTGGGTGGGCGTTCCCCGGAAGGGGCGAGGCCTGGCCGGGTCGTTTCCGGACAGGGCTATAGGGCGCTGGGCGGGGCTTTCCTGGGAGAGGCCTAAGGCGTTCGAGCCGGCAGCTCTCTGGGCGCTGAGTGGGCGTTCAAGAGGCGTGGCTAGGGCGTCGGGCTGGGCGTTCCCGCGGTGGAGCCTGACTTCCTGCGCTCCGTCTGCACTTCCTGGTCTGGGAAGCCAGCTCGTGTGGACCTGAGTGCTCGCCGCCGCTACCGGCCCCACCGCAGTCTGGTTCTTGCTACAAGCTGTGCTCTCGGACTGTGTTATGTCCTGGTCCGCAGGTTCCTCAGGCGCCTGCCACAAGGGACCATTCTGTGTTCCTTTTCATCTCTTTAATCTTAAAACAGTTCTGTTGGGCGCCGAGTCGGCGTTGACTCATCGCGACCCCGTGTATAACAAGCGAATGTCGCCTACTCCGGGAGTAAACAGCCTCAGTGTTCCTTCAGATGACTCGTTGGTTCCGATTTGTAGAACTCGCTTGATTCCTCGTTTATCTCCACATCCCCTATTGCTATGGATCTAATCAGGTGAATGAATACTTTGGAAGTTGTTCAGCGGGCCATGCTGCCATCAAACATACCTCCCCTTTCTTCCATCCTTATTTACACGACGGGTATTAGGTAAATGAGCTAGCTCCAGAATTACAAGCGCGTAATTTCCAGCGAATGTTACATCTCTCATATTGGTTGCTAATAAATGAGAGGCTATTAATTCTATTATGGTAATTTTGTTCTTACGTGCTCTCGAGTGGGCCCGACTCATAGCGACCCCTCCTTGGGTTTCTGAGGTTAGGGAGCTCTGGTGGCATAGTGGCTAAGGCACTTGACTGCTAACCAGAAGGCTGGCAGTTCAAACCCACCAGCCACTCCTGGGAAGGAAGATGGGGCAATCTACTTCCGTAGTGATACTGCCTCAGAAACCCAAGGAGGGGTCACTATGAGTCACATGTGACTCTACTGTACGTAACAACATCTCTACGTAAGTAGATTACCCCTAATCTTCCTTCCGTGGAGTGGCTGGTGGGTTTGAACCGGCAGCCTTCTGGTTAACAGTCAAGTGCCTTAATCACCATGCTACCAGAGCTCCTTATTATGGTATATAGTTGTAATGTAGCGTCTATTACACGCAGCTTTTGTTTACTGTCTCTCTCCTTTTTCCTTTCAAATAACCCCAACGTGCATCCCGTGGAGGCGACAATCTGCTGTATGGAGACAGCCGTGAGTTAGCAGAGCCGCCTTCTGACCCAACTTTCCAGCTCACTAATGTGTGGCCCTGTCTCAGCGACCTCATTCATAAAACAGAGTTGAAGGGAGAGTTCTGAAGTCATTGTGGCGCCTACTAGAAACTTTCCACATCTGCTCATCCCTCACAGCTCAACTGCACACTTTCCGTTTTTGAATACTGCACAGAGAACTGCCCACCTGCTGGCTTGCAGTGTGGGAAGTGCAATGATTGCTTTTGGCACAGAAGACAGGTGAGGAAGTGTTGGTATTGGAAATGAGCCATGCACTGTTTTCACAACCATAACACCGCTTCAAAGATGGCAGCAGACCCAAGCCCTGAGGGCAAGGCTTGGTGCAGAGGTTATTTCCAGCTAGCTTACACCCCACATGTATCCATTTCACCCACTCATTAGTACACCCAAGCTCAGGGAGAAAATGTGAAAATTAAGAAAATGAAAAATCACATAGCTTACCATGTAGTGATAACTATTAACATCACAGAATATTTTACTTCATTTTTTCCTTCTATAACATATCAGGTTATTTCCCAAAATAGATTATAGCATGTGGGTTTTTTCTTGTATTAGTGTAGTGTATTATTTCCCCAGGGTCATCTCTCTCACGTTGATTTTTAATGGCTGCACATCACGGCACTAAATGGACGTTCCCCCCACTGAACCACTCTTCAGAGACTTTCCTATTTTTCACTAGACAATGAACTTCACTGCAGTGTATCTTTTGCAGTCACCTCCCTATGGTAGGTGTGGGATTAGCAGCTGAAGTTTTGTAAGAAGCTCTCTCAAGGCTCCATAACCAAATGTTTTCCAGAATGGTTTCACCAGTATTTCCTCCAGTAGAGGAGCAGAGTGCATTCTTACTAAATTCTTACGTCTTGACGTTGGGCAACGTCAAGTAACGCCAATGCACAGAGACCCTACAGGACAGAGCAGAACGCCCCCTAGGAATGCCAAGGCTGTACTCTGTGAGAGCAGAAAACCAGGTCTTTTCTCCCATGGAGCCACTGGTGGGTTCGAACCAAGTGTTTAACCACTGCACCACCATGGCTCCTCACATTTTTACTCAGAACACAGAAATTACTGAATTACAATGGGAAATGACTATTTTTTAATTATTCTTTAGTTACTGGTTGAGCTGAACAACTTTCCAGTGGTTACAGACATCTATACTTTTCATTTTCACTAAGTTGTCTGATCCTGTCCATTATTCTTTTTAAAAAACACTGACTCATGAGAGTTCTGTATTTAGAGCTGAGTTTCCACCCCCCCTTCAATTTGGAAGTGAAATCTAGGTTGAATTTATCTGATTAGAATCTGTAATGGCCTCGGGGCACATGGTTACTCCTGGGTTCTTTCAGAGTTGATATCTGTTATTTTACAATGTCCTCATTCGTCTGCCTTCGTGACAGAAGCAGTAACCCTTTCTCTGGCTTCATGTCCAAGTGCAGTGATGTGGAGTTCAAAACTGGAAACTGAAGCCTTGGAATCATGTCAGTTATCACAAAATCAACAGCTTCCATTTTTAAACAGCCAATCACTTTTCGTCATACTTAACTCAAAATGATCAACGGATTTTATTTAAACTTGGTACCAAGATCCTTTACACTGAGCCTGAGATTCAGCATGAGAAAGTTCAACCTGAAGTTAGATTTCATTTCCCAGTGAAGCCTGACAATAAAGCTGCGAACACACTTGTTCTCAGTCAGAGCATCTGATGAATGCACACGCGTGTTCTCACAGGGCATCCAATGTACGCACATGCGTGTTCTCAGAGCATCCGACGAATGCATGTGTGTGCTCACAGAACATCCAATGAATGCACATGCATGTTCTCAGAGCATCTGACGAATGCATATGTGTGCTCACAGAACATCCAATGAATGCATAGCATGTTCTCACAGAGCACCCCATGAATACACACGCATCCTCAGAGCATCCAAAGAATGCACACGTTCTCAGAGTAGCCCATGAACGTACATGTGTTCTTACAGATCAGCCAATGAAAGCACATACATTCTCAGCACAGCATGAACACACACACGTTCTCACAGAACATCCAATGAATGCACGTGTCCTCAGAGCATCCCATGTTCACGTATTCTCACAGAGCTCCATGAATGCACGTGTTCTCAAAGCTTCCAATGAAGGCACACTTGTCCTCAGAGCATCCCAAGAAGGCACACGTATTCTCATATTTAGAGCGGCCCAGGAATGCACTCGTGGTCTCACAGAGTGTGCAATGACAGCTGACAGTGAAGAGTGCTGCAAACTGAACTTTAATTTGCTCAGGTCCCCGTGACCTTCAGAGCTTGACAGGACCCAGTTCTTAACAACAAGGAAGTCTGTGAGTGAGACACTTACAAAGGTGCATCCAGGTGCAGAACTTCATCTCAGCATTTTCCCAGCTGCTGCGTTAGCTGATTGTTGGAAAAGCAACCCTAGTCACTGGTACTCAGCACATACTCAAAAACACACAGCAGCATGGTGCCGTTCACCATGTTTACAAACGTTAGCACTGGTAATAAAATATAAGATACAGAGTTTCATTTTTCAAATAGTAAGTCTTCATCCTTTGGTTTCAAACCTACGCAATGTGCTCTCAGGTCAGGACGTGGCAGACGGTGCTGAGACAACACTGCACATCTGCGGGGGAAGGCCAGGTGTCGGGGAGTGGCTCCATCGTACAAAGGAAGCCACCAGTGAAGCAAAAATACTTTCTGCCACACACTGTACATTATGTAAACAACATTCAGAGTAAGGATCAACATGGGCCAAATTATTATCTTCTGGGAGACCAGAATCTTGTCTTCTAAAGCCCACACGTTGAAGATTTGTTCAGAGAAAGAATGGCATCTGCCGCTCTACTTCCTGATGTGCTTACAGAGCCTGGAAACAAGGAATTATTACAGCTATTACATTCACTGGCTAACGGTCTGCCCTCTGCTTGGCTGCTGGTCTATGGCTGCGAATGGGGACGACAGACCGTTCTGCTACCTGCATTTCACTTCATACTAGCTCAGTGACATGAAAATGATTCCCTTCTATGAACCCGTGTTAGCAACAGGAGAGTTGAAGTGGAGCAGGGAATTACAAAATTTGTGCAGGGGAAACTAGTTGGCAATGTTTCCAATAAAGGCCAGTAGCAAAATCATGATGACAGAGTCCATCTGAGCTAGTAGTGAGACCCTGATTTAACAAGCAGAATCAGAGTTTGAAGTTAGGTGATTATAATTCCTAAATGACGGTGCAAATCTCAAATCTCCTATGTAAATGACAGTGCTGGTGCATCAAAGCCCTGGAAGGAAAGAACGCAATACCGCTAGGTCATGAGATGCAGAGAAGCTAGGTGAGGCGGCGCTAATGTCTTGGTGATAGTTGCAGAGCAACTGCTCAGAATTTCCTTCATGAATCTGACGTTACCCGAGATGATTCACTCCTCTGTACTGATCCGAGTTAAAAGCCTAAACTGGAAGCGAGAGTGACAAACACAAAACCAAAGATGCATCTTCTGTGAATACGCAGGGTTTGCAGGCTTCCCACGTACTTTCTGCACCCGCAGCTGCCTCCCTGAAAGGCAAGCCTTGTCAGGACTGTCCATCCCTCTGCAGAGCCTCCAGTCTCTGAAGGAGCGCATTCCCAAAGGCTTCCCGGTAGGCGGGGCTGAGCGTGTCTAGCAAGGAGTAGACGGTTTCATGGTAGGGGGTCTGCAAACAGTCATCTACCTGGTCAAACGCGTAACCAACCACCTGCAAGAGAAAGGCACCCACATGTTAAACAGCAGGCGACACCTCGGTAGAGGTATCCAAGGGCACACCTGGGCCAGACTCTGTGGACACAGCTCCTCAAGCAATAGTCAGAATACACACATTTCTCAGGCCTCCTCTTGGTATTTAAGCAATTTACAACCTACAATACCAGCAAAGTGCTCCTTTCAGAATTCCGTTCTCAAAATGTGAAAGGTTTGATCTATCTACTCCTCCTCCTCCTCCTTAAAAAAGAAAATGGAGAGAATTTATAAAGCTACACAAAACCAGTCATAGATCAGTGTTTCAGTGCTATTCAAAATGGGAAGGCCCTCAACGAGATGGATCGACAGTGGCTGCAATGGTGGGCTCAGGTATAGCAGGGATTGTGAGGCTGGCGCAGGCCTGGGCGGTGTTTTCGCTCTGTTGTACATGGGGTCACTGTGAGCTGGAGCCAACATGATGGCACCTAACAACAACACACAACCACTATTTCACTTTCCTATTCCTCACCACCTTCCAGTTTCACTCTCCTGCATTCATCCCACCTGTATGGAGGAGCTCCTGTATGAGGCACCATGGCAACGGGTGAGCCACCATTAGTTCATATGCTTATCTTCTCTTAGGTTTGGAATCTCTTTGCTTCTAGAAATTGTTTTATGTCCATCCTGCTTTACAATGAGGCATCTGACAGGCTACATTGTTACCTGAGAGAGAGAAATGCTCAATGGAGAGAGAGGAATGTTAGTCTATGCTGTTGTCTTTTAAAAAAAACAAACCTCAAAATTCTCTCTCCAACAAGATTACCACACATAGATCACTAGCCTCTTTTTCATACATCAAGGTTTGCCAGCACAGTAGAGGGCAAAATGAATCTGGCTTTAGTTGACCTGATTACAACTTGCAACTCGCTACCTGAGCCTCAGTGTGTGTGGCACCTAGTCACGCCACAGCAGCTGCCGACATACTGCACAGAGGCCGACGCGTAAGGAAGGCGAGCTGCGCCAGCTCCCCGCGCTGCACAGAGCCATCCAGCGTGCTCAGCTCTGCGAGCTGCAACCTCCTGATGCACGGGAACAGGGCTCGTCCGTGTGGCTTCCACTCACAGACACAGGACAGCTGCCCAGGAAACGTTAACTGTATCAGGCTGAAAAATGGATAAACACCGCAGTGGCTGCTACATGCTAGGTGCGCGATCGCCCGGCTCTTTCTGCGGGTGTTACCCATGTAATCACCCCACGTCTATCTTAGTTTCCAGGACCCAGATGAGGAAGCAGGGACTCAAGAGGGTGACGACGCACCCAGCGTCACTCAGTCACATTTATGACTGATCAGAGTCCTCGCTACCTCCCCAAAGCTGCCTTAGAATCAGCCAATGTAGGACAGTCATCTACTGAGATCACTTCTCTCCACTTTATTGGCCTACTTCCATGTAAGGCTACTTCTAAACACGACAAGCTTTCCACACTCGTTTTGGGATTTATGAAGAAGCACACAAAATTTAGTTAATTCAGGTAACACTTGTGTGGTGGCCATGGCAGTCTTTAGCATGGTGAGGACGCTGGCCTGTGGCCTCAGTGGGAGTGACCCCGACCAGGGGATACAGGGCATGTGATTCGTACCCATCTAAAGCAAACCGACCCAGTGAAACAAAGAGATGCCCACACCCTCATCAGACTCAGGACTCCAAGAAGCCCTGGATGCCTCGGCCTTGCCCTCAAGCTTAAGGTTCTGGGAAGCTTTCTGGGGGTTTCTTTTTAACAGAGGGAGAGAAGCAGAGAAGTCGCAGCCCTTTGGCTGAAATCAAGGACAGATCCATTAGTAAAGTGGAAATTCCATTTTGGAGTTGTTCAGACCCCATCCGTTGGTTCAGGAGCCAAAGACTTTCACACTAGGAGGAACTGAGTGAGCTTTCACTTCATCCAAAGTTGTTCTCCAGTGCGCTTTCACTGTTCTAAACGCAGGTCCTGGATTAAAGGATGTGGAGAGGGCGAGCTGAGGAGACCCACTGAGAATAAAGAGGCACCTGGAGTGGACAGCCAGCGGGCGGCCGAGAGACCGAGGCGGGGAGCGGACAGCCGGTGGGCGGCCGAGAGACCCCAAGGTGGGGAGTGGACAGTCGGCGGGGGGCCGAGAGACCTCGAGGTGGGCGTCCTGCTCCAGTTTCTCACCTATGAGCTAGAGCTCTTGGGGGCAAATGTGTGGTGTTAACAGAAGAGGCAGCAACAAGGGTGGAGCCAGACCCACGGAGCACAGCGTGTGAGGCTCACCCAGTGGGGCACACTTTTGGTGAACAAGCTGAGTTTGAGATGAGAAAACCTGAGTTTGAGATGAGAGAGACATGAGTTTGGGAGTGAGGACGGAAACAAAGTAACTCCCTGCAAGCTGACAGAAACAGATATTCTTAGATCCTATTCAATTTCCTATGCTGGCTGAATGACTTTAAAATTTTAAAAATTCTTAAGAAAAAAGTTTTCTTTAAGAAAACCTTGGAGGTGACCAAGTGGACAGTGCTCATTCAACATCCGTCCCCTCCCCCTCAACCCCGCATTTTTGATCAAGCGGTAAAGGCACCAAGGCACCCCTTGGAGATACTGCGGGTTTGGGTCCAGAACCCTGCAATAGAGCGAGTCACATGCACTTCTTGGTCTCGCAGCGTGTATGAGTTACACGTACACTATACTGTACCTATTAAGTGTGCAACAGCATCAGCCAAACGTCTGAAATACTGTGACAATGACCAAGACTGGACAAAGCAGATGTGCTGTTGGAAAAATGGCGTGACAGACTTGCTCCATGCAGGGCTGTCAGACCTTCGATTTGTAAAACTGCCAGCCTGAAAAGCGCCATGGACAGGGAGCACGCCTGTATTCTTTTGCCCTACCGACAAGGGTGAGTTACCCTTAGCCCCGCCTCCGTGAGCTCCAGGCAGTACGTGCTCCCCTCCCTCGTCTCCACGTTGATGTAGGCCACGTCGTCGGCACAGCGCAGGCTTGTGGAGACCAACATGCGATTGACAGCGAAGAGAACGTCGCTGACGACCGCCTCGGCTTCCAGCCGCATGTCTTTCATGTCAGTTCCTTCGCCACCATTGAGTGCCGAGTCGTCTTCAAATCCTGACACGCTGCTTAGATCCATGGGGTTACAGTTTGTCTGCATTCTGCACAAAGAAGACACAAGACCGGTTTCTAGAAAGACACACAACACGTTATAGTTTGATTATAAGTATCTACACCTTACAGCTGCCACTCGTACAATACACTAACTGGCCAATGACTTTCAGGAAAAATACCACCTAAAACCATTCCTCGTAATTCTTCAGAGCAAAGTTACAGATTTTGAAAAACAGGATCTTTTTATCATTTCCCCTTAAAAATTTAACTCACTTATTGACAAATGCTTAGAGCATTATAGTTTTTGCTACTTACATTATAGCTACTTTGAACAAAGCTTTAGTAAAATCCTAGTGCATACTTCTTTTTGCATAATTATTTCTCCATAATACAAACCATAAAAACCAAACCAATAGCCATCAAGTCAACTCCAACTTACAGAAACCCTACAGGACACAGCAGAACTACCCATACGGTTTCTAAGGCTATACATCTTTACAGAAGCACACTGCCTCATTTTTCACCCATGGAATGACTGGTCGGTTCAAACCACCAACTTTTTGCTTAGCAGCTGAATACTTAAACCACTGCACCACCAGAGCTCCCTGAAAATGCAATTGCCAAGTACAAGAACACATTCATTTTAAGTTTCAGTAGATGCTGCAAGTTCACTCTTCAAAAAAGGGCTGTGATTTCTAGCCCACTGACAGGATATGGGGAGCTCTGGTGCGTGGTGCCTAAGGCACTTGACTGCTAACCAGAAGGCTGGCAGTTCAAACCCACCAGCCACTCCGCAGAAGGAAGGCTGGGCAACCTACTTCCGTAGAGTAGAGATACTGCCTCGGAAACCCAAAGAGGGGTCGCTATGAGTAGGGACTGACTGGATGGTGGTGAGTTTGGTTTTTTTGGTTTGACGGGATATGAGGGGCTGTTCTCCATCACCACTTTCCAACAGCTCCACTAACATCCTACAAGGTCATGAGGAGTTAGGATCCACTTGAAGGCAGCAGTCTGGGTAATACGAGGAACAAAGAATGAGCTCTTGTCATTGTACCATTCATCTCCTTGATGGGACAGCTTTTTGGATGTTATAGCCTATTTCTGGAGCCCCAGTGGCACAGAGGTGAAAATGCTCAACTACGTACCAAAAGGTCAGCAGTTTGAACCCACCAACCACTCTGTGGGAGAAAGATGAAGCAGTCTGCTTCTGTAAAGACTGGAGCCTTAGAAACTCCATGGGGCAGTTCCACTGTGTCCCATAGGGCCACTATGAGTCAGAGTCAACTCAGTAGCAGTGGGTGGAGCATATTTTTAGTTCCAAGCCCACAGAGTATACAATGAACGTAGGAGATAGAAATGAATGTAGTCTGAACTTAGCAGGCAAGACCTCACCTAGCACAGGGTCCTACCTTCCATGGTTCCCTATGTAACTTCAGACTTGGAATTTTGCTTCAGAAAGCCTTTCCCACCCCCACGACATTCATAAATCCCCCAAATCATCTTCTCTGTCTCCTACTCTCTAAAGTCAATCTGTGGACCCTCCTGGGCTGTCTTTGAGTGAAGTTATTCTCAAGTGTCAACCGGCCAACATTTGTGTAAGAACTTAGCCTCTCACCACCTACGTGAACCGGCCCACATACTGTCTTTTCAGTGACAGTTTCTCACATGAACGTGATCCAATCTGGCTGCGAGGTTGCAATGTGCTTGTGACGTCTTCTGTGGGTGGGGCTGAAAGAATTTTTCTTGGCAGCGAGTAGTTACAGTCAGGACGAGTGAATGAGCCAGTTCACCAATGGGCCGCTGCTCTGACGCATCTCTACGTAATGGGAACTGTGCTCTCTCCTACCTGGCAGCTGTTCAGCCTAAGATGTCATTTCTCTGACACAGACGGAATAGCTGCCGCTCTGCATGCAGCACGACGCGGCCTGCGTGCATATAATCACCACTCACTGCCTCCCTTCCTGAGTGCTGTGGACCAGATCTAGTCCCGTCCCCGCCACACCAGGGAGACTAGGTTGTAATAACCTGACAGAGCTGATACCATGCCCTGGCCTTACAAATTCCACCTGCTTTCCCGAGCTTCCAGCCTTGTGCCCGATCTGTGCTATTTAAAAGCCTCTGACTTAGTGATTCTCACTGGCTGCTCATGAGAATTACCTGGGAGAGCCTCTAAAACTTACAGGCCCCCAGCCCCCAGCACAGAGCCATGGAAGGAAAACCCCAGAGGCCAGGGGTGCTTTCAGAGCTCCGGGGGAGTCTGCTGTCTGGCCACTGCTCTAAACGATCAGCAAAAAGCCCAGGGAGTTACAGTTCCCCAGCTGTGGGTCATCTGAGTATTTTAAATCTCAAAACTATTTGCTAAGGGCAAATGATGATAAATGTGAAAGCTAAAGAGCTCTGGTGGTGCAGTGGTTAAGGCGCTTTGCTGCTAACTGAAAGGCCAGTGCTTTGAATCCCCCAGCCGCTCCGCAGAAGAAAAGATGAGGCAGTCTGCTTCCGTAAAGATTGACAGCTTTGGAAAGCCTGTGGGGCAGTTCCACTATCCTCTAGGGATGCTGTGGGTCGGAATCGGTTGGACAACAGTAGGTTTGGGTTGATGCAAAGCTGTTTTAAACATTTACATAGCAACTGTGTACATGTGTTCCCTGAAAGTGTATTTTAATGCTGCCTGAAGGATGCTTTCTCTGGTCTCTCATAGCTCTTTACAGAATGAGTCACGAGCCAGTAATAATACAAGTTAAAATCTACCACTGACTGACTATACGAGTGAGGGGAAACCTGTGAGTCCCTGAAAATTCCCACCTCAGCCTACAAACCATCAACACCCTCCTTAACATCATGCGGTGCTGTGGAAAAAAATGAGACCATTCAGTTGTTTCACAAAGTGAGTGTTGAAGATTCTAAAGTGTGACTGTCTATGTGACATCTGTTAACATCATGACTACCCATCCTCCTTACTCTGGTCACTGAATTCCTGGTTGCATATACTTCAATCACGGACAACAGAGTTAATCATCATGAGAAAGAGATGTTTACAAGAGGAAGGCTGACAAAACGTAAAGCTACCTTGGCCAGAGTCAAGGTCCCTGGGGGCCGGACCTGGGGTAGGGGAGGCAGATGAAGACTGCAGGACTGGAACAGCAGGAGTCCTCACGGGATGGCGAAGGACGTCCCCCAACGCTGGCCTGTGTAATGATCCCAGTTCCAAGCTGCAACCGAGAGAAAGACAAAAAACAGTAGACGTTCTAACTTTTGATAATGGTACACAAGGAAAATGAAAACTACCCACTTTATTATTTAAGCATTACGTAACTTCCGGCGACTCCTACAATTTCTCCTTTTCTGGTTGTAACAAAAGGCGCATTGGAGGCACAGTGGTTAAAGCACTCATCTGCCAACCACAAGGTTGGTGGTTTGAACCCACCAGCCGCTCCACAGGACAAAGCGAGGCAGTCTGCTTTTGTAGATACTACCTCGGGAAGCCTATGGAGCAGTCAGTCCTCTGTCCTGGGGGTCCCTATGCATGGTCCTCCATCAACAGCAGTGGGTCTGGATGTGACAAAGTCTGGCTGCTTGTTAACGTCCATTCTGCTTCCTAACAGCAGCCCTCCCCTAGTGAGTACAGGGTTCCAGAAGTCTGGGTGAGACGGACCCCAACCCCAGGCACGGAATGTCCTAAAGGAATCCACACACAGGCTTCTTCCCGGCCTCGTGGAGGCCGAGCAGTTCCATCAGTCCACAGCCCTACTGTTCCTGGGAGCCACTGGGAGACGGGGAAACTGGCCCGAGGACGATGCTGACAATGGAGAGAGAACAGAGCCAGGAGAGTCACTGGAGTCGGAGCCTGGGCTCTGGTGGCTGCCAGCCTCAGGGCTTCGTGGTCAGCGGAGCCAATATGCCCCGGTGATTTCCTGGCAACCGAGAGTGTGTTAAAGTTTCCTACTACTATTGTAGAGTTGTCTGTTTTCCCTTTCAATTCAATTAATATTTGTTTCACGTACTTTGGAGCATTTTCACCAGGTGCAGAGATATTTATTATCCTAATGTCTTGTTGCTCAATTGACTCTTTCAGCATCATACAGTGACCTTCTTTGTTTCATGTTGTTTTTCACATTAAAGTCTATTTCATCAGAAGTTAATATTGCTACTCCTGCTCTTTTTTGGTTACCATTGCTTTGGTATGTTTTTTTTTTTTTTTCCTACCATTTTTAAATTGGATTTTTTTCATTGCTAAGGTATTGGAGTTTTCTATAAATTTTAGAGATAAATCCCTTGTTAGATGTGTCACTACCAAATAGGTTCTCTTTTGGAGAAGTCTTTGGAAGCACATAAAAATTGAATTTTAGAAGGTCCCATTCATCTAGTTTATCTTCTGCTATTTGTCCATTTTGGGTTATGCTTGACAGTCAATGTATGCCATAAATTAAACCAAACCAAACTCACTGCCATGGAGTTGGACCCAACTCATAGCGACCCTTCCTTGGGTTTCCGAGGCAGTATCACTACAGAAGTAGATTGCCTAACCTTCCTTCTGCCATGCCATAAATTAAGGCCCCTAAATTTGCCCCTAGTTTTTCCTTGAGGAACTTTATAGTCTCAGGTTTCACATTTAAGTCTTTGATCCATCTGGAGTTAGTTTTTGTGCATGGGGTGAGGTACAGACCTTGTTTCATTTTTCTGCAAATGGATCTCCAGTTTTGCCAACACCATCTGTTAAAGGGACCATCTCTTCCCCATTTAATGGATTTCAGTCCTATGTCAAAAATCAGCTGACAATAGGTCCATGGATCTATTTCTGGGTTCTCAATTCTGTTCCACTGGTCTGTGTGTCTGTCACTGTACCAATACCAGGCAGCTTTGACTACTGTCACTATCCAGGACAGTACTTTGAGACCCGGGAGCGTGAGACCTCCTACTTTGTTCTTCTTCAATAGTGCTTTGCTTATCTGAGGTCTCTTTCCTTTCCATATAAAATTAGTGATTGGTTTTTCCATATTCTTAAAGAATGCTGATGGGCTCTGGACTGGGATTGCATTGCATGTATAG